CTGGTAGAGTCGTCCCAAACACGAACCCGAAAACAGAATTGCTCCAACACTCTCGGTTTTTTCAAAAACACGATTTTGGTAAAAAAAATTAGGTATTGTGTGAAAATTAAAAACGCTGGAATGTTGAATCGAGTCTTGAAAAATAGAGGAGAATTTCTTGAATACATCGCTGTGTATACGTGAAAATAATTAAGTAAGAACAAAAATGGCGGCAAAACACCGTGCACACGTTGCCCACGGATATTTTCTCGACCTGCCCGAATCACAAACCGTTCCGACGCTATTTCTGCGTGGTTTCTTCATCAGAAATGTCTACAGAATTCGATACCGTGTAGCCAATTCGTGTTAAAACAGAAACTTTTCGTGAAAGTACGCACATCGGGTCATTTTGAAACTTCGATGGCTACTTACAACCATTCGAAACCGTAAAAATTTAATAACTGTATACACCGATGTGTATGCAGGAAATTGTCCTCTATCTTCCACATTTCGATTCAACTTTTTAACGTTTTTAGTTCTTCCCGTAATACCTTACTTTTGGATGAAAATCGTGCATTTTTACGAAAACTCGTGTTTTGTCATAACCGAGGGTGACAGAGCAATTCTGGTTTTGGATTCGTGTTTGGATGTGGATATCGCAGATCGGAATAAAACTTGGAATTTGTTCTTTTCATTTGAATTTTTCAAGAATTAATTAGCACTGCAAATAAGATGAATTACCTTAATACGACTTATCTTTACTTTAAATCAATTATTCTAATTTTAATACATCACTCTAAAACATCGGACATACATCCAGACATGAAACGCATAGATAGATATGGTCGTAAGATTATACATACGAAGATTATTTAATCGCGAAATTTGGTATTTACATTATGAACAATCGCGTGACACGATATCGAAAATTATTTTGCTAATTCCATTGAACGCAAAGTATAACGCAGAAGAAAATAAATACTATATAATGAGCATTTCTAAAGTTCAGTCTTTTCATTTCTATATTCTAGCAAATTTTAAGTAACGATAGGAAATTAATGTTCAGACACGATCTCGTTATCATTATTTTCATATCGTTATATATTTTGAAAATTCATTTTCTACAAGTATTTAGCCTAATGTTCATATTCTCAAATTTCGACCAACATGAAAATAACAAATTACAAAGTTACTACTCTTAGCATAAATTTACGACCACGTTGTATTATATCTTTAATCTAGCTGTGGCATATATCGTACGTTTTAAAAAGGTATTCAGTTATTAATCACATAGTATTCTCCTAAGAATTTCGTATTATTTACTACACGTTCGACTGTAAGAATTATCATTCAATCCTTACTGTCTATATTCAATTTAATTATGTATTCGAACAAACGTATCCTATTTGTATATTGGGCGAAAAACCCCATCGTGATTCACGCTACTACAGGTGTCTGGAACAACTTTAAGAGGTTGCTCGAATTACTTTGGAACGGGGCTGAAAAACACCACTAAACAAAAGCCTTAAGTGTGAAGGAGTGTAGAATTCTGTAATGAACAAATTACCATCTTGATGTAAGCCAAAAGACGACAAACCGATCATAAAAGAGAGATTTTTTCTTTAACAAGAGCTGAGAGCCAGTCGCGGTGAATAAATGGTTCTTGGACAGGGTGAGCAGTGGAGAAGTTAGTTTGATCGAGAGACTTCGTTACTCAAGAGAGATAGCTAAACTAGAGCATTACGGAAACCGTACTACCTCTTAGTTATTTAAGTTTCGTCAAAGAAAGTGGACAGGGGCTTTCCATCTGTAGGAGGTACGAGTCTAACGTACCTTTCGAGTTTTTCTGCGTGGCAGCCATAGATCTACACTCGATAGTGGCATGCTTTGCGTCTGAGGTTAAGATTAATCTATGTGGATTATCGCTGACTAGAGCAGACTGTGTCAGGTCTCCATAGAATTGGCTTATAATAATAACGTCGCCGTTCACCATATCAGCGTTAGGAAACAAATGTTTAACGCGAGTTTTATTGATAATCGGTAAACCCGGCGTGGATGGAGGCAGCGTTAACTACTTGCTTGGGTATAGAGATCCCTCAAACATGCTTACTCTCATATTTGATAAGCTGGTAATTACGAAGATTTGCGGCTAAGTGATCTTATGATGGAGACAAACACATTATGTGAATGGGACTTGCACGGCGTGAAATTAAAATGATACCGAAGAATAACTTCTGTTTTGATAGACGCGGTAGATCACGCTACATCGTTTTCAGGACTAATCTCTAAATTCCGAGAGTTGATTCGAAAAGAATGGAGTTCACTTCCACGTGAGCTCGAAGTGACAGAATGGCAGCTGTATCAGTGGTTGCTATGAACGCACTACGAGAGCGGGCTATTGCTCAGTGAGTCCGTCTGCAAGTTGAGTAAGGAGTATCGTCTACCCATGCAGGTGCTATCGTGCTGCTCCAACAAGTGGAGGTTGGTTAACGTCAACTTATCAAGACGCCGCAATTTCAAACACAAGGTTTTGTATGCCGAGAGGGAGCTTGATGAATTAGATCCAGCTTTTAGGGAGGTTGGGAAATTTTCAGGGGTCTTCTCACAGCAGGATTACAAGCTAGCGACCAGTGGTTCCACACCGCTTGGTGGCAGGTGTCAACGTTTACTATGCCGTTAATGACATCATAGGAAGCTATTGCACGTGTAGTGTATTAATTATGGTAGAAACCAATACAGTCTGCAGCATGGCGTTTTGCCCATGCGATGTCCATGAAGCCAAATAGAATATTGTAGAGGAAAGAAAAATCCATAGGCTGGACCAGTATTTAACGCTGGCCACTACCGTAAACCACGATCTCAGTCAAAGACTCACTAAAGTTCTTGACTCTTGGTTTGAGTCGAGCCCATGGAGAAGAGGAGGTATAGGGGAGCAGACACAAGTGTCCACTGCTATTGGTAAAGCTAGTCACACTCAATGTACCAAAAGTTGGATGGAAAATTTCACAAGGAAAATATGGTGGCAGAGCAACAGCGACCAATTGGAAAAACATAGTCGTAGCATTTTAGAAGATGTAGTGGAAGCAATGGGCAAGTTGAGTGATGAGATATTTGGGACTAGGACTAAAGCCGCCGAAGGCAATGTTGCGCGACAAATACTTTGTCTGGGTGGAGAGGTGCCTTATTCGTGGCTAAAACAGAAAAGGACACCAACGTTAGAGATGCAAACATTAATAGCATGGAGATAGAAGAGGAGCTAATATCAGAATTATTAACTATAATTAACTATCTTTTCACAGTTACAGTATGCATCACAACCAGTATACAAATCTAGAATGTAAGTTTTACGTTAAATATTTACTAATATTTATACAGATACGATTTCCTTCGCATATATTCACGATTTTTCCGAGGTATTTCACATTTATAGCGATATGAAAATCATATTCAATTTTACATTCACAATAGAATCAAAAGATATCTGTAATTACTTTGCTTATGGCTTACAGCTTTGGTGAAAATAAACTGAAAAGCATGTATTATATTTCAATTATACGCGATTTATGATATGGTAAAACTAATTTGATTAATAAAATATAATTTAACTACTTGCTTTAATCATAATCAAAGAAATTTTATTATGAAAAACATCAAACGCTAATTTTGAATAACGCCAAGATGATACTTAAATTCTACCAATGTACATAAAAATGATATTATTATGGTGTTTTATGTAATTTTTATGTACATTCATAAAAAGCTATTCTATTAAATATTACTTTAAATAATAGACATATTATACAAATTTTAATTGCTAAATTATTCATGATTTTAAATTATATATACTTTTAGTACCTGCCATTTCATTCGTACACTTTAAGTAAAAATTAAAAACTAAAAAAAATACACAGTATCGAAATCGAGTACAAAGTGCTTCTA